TTTTGGCTGTAGTGGATGACCACAGACTTAATGGCTTCGAACAACATGTGTTTATTAGTTCACAGTTCTGTCAGAAGTCCATTTTATGACTGTTCTCTGCCCAGTTCTCACAAGGCCAAAGTCAAAGTGGCTGGTGGTGTCCATGTTCTCATCTGGAACCCAGGGTCCTCTTCCAAGCTCCGGTGGTTGTCAGAATTCAGTTCTTCACAATTGTAGGACTGCTGCCCTGCTGGCTGTTTCCTGAGGGCTGTCTCAGCACCTAGAAGTCATCACATTTCTGCCATGTGGTACCCTCCATCTTTAAAGCAAATGAGCAATCTCCCTCTCATTTAACTCCTCTAGTGATTAATTTCCTGCTTCAGGAAAAGTCCAGTCCCTTCTCAGGGCTTATATGATTAGCTTGACCCACATGACCTTCCTTTATTCAAGGTGATTATAATTGTGGGTAATGAGGGTCCCAACCCCAAGTCCCCAGATTATTCAGGGAGTGTATACTATGGGGCAGGAACCATGCAGGCGTCTTAGAATTCTGCCACTTACACATGTTGTGTGTAGTATATACTCAATTTATAGCAGCTTTAATCCTCCCTGCTAACCTTGAGAGTTCTTGAGGCAACTGGGCCAGCCTATTCACCAACCAATTTGGAGCATTTTTGTATTTTAACAACCAATACAGCCATATAGATTCATAGAGGGTAGAATTCAAACATAACAACGTGGAACTAATATGTTCTCCTCCATTACTCTTCCTCCGGCCTCACCTCAAGCCTTAAATCTCAGAGAAGGAAGCTGTCAACCCAGAGAGAGAGAGGAGGAAATCCATGGAGATATTTGTGGCTCCCATTTTCACAGATAGGGAAACTAAGTCTGAGACAAGACTCCCAGCTCAGTGCTTTCTCCAGGAAGCCCTGCCGAGCCCTGAGTGTGCTCCTAACAAACCTCTGTGGCTGTGCTTCTGGCATTCTAGGCCACCCCATGATGCAGAGCTTTCTGCACTGTGGTGGGTGTTTGTAGAATTTCTTCCATTTAAGTGGATATCAGATTCACTCATGCATCATCTAAAATACAACTCCCTTTGATTTGACCTCTTTTGAGTCTCTCCACTCATGCTTTATATCAAAGGAATTAAACCTCTTTGCTGGACTTGAAGCTCTGTCTTTCCCAGGGGTTTTCATCCTGTCTCGGCAAAGCTTTCCATCCGTGGGCACAGGGGAGGCCAGAAGATGAAGAGCAGTAATGGGCTTGATGAGGTGTAATAGGATTGGCTGAAGTCGGTGCTTTGTCTTGCATTCTGCAGAGAGCAGCCTGGCTACTCAGCTGCCCTCAGCCAAGCCCATGACTTTTCTTTCTGTTTCTCTCTCTACACACGGTTCTGCACAAACCCTAGGTTCAAAGAGGCAGTACTAGAGTATAAACTCCAGGAGGGATGGGTCTGCATTTACCCTCTTCATTGCTTTATGGCCAGTTCTAAGCACAGGGCTACTATACGTAGTTCCTCAATGCTTGCTGAATGGGTGCATAATTAATAGAATGGATCTTGAAAACCTTATTAAGGAAGTCCATCTCTATTGCTCCTGAGAATCTGTGATGGGCAAACAGCAATGCAGAACAGGAGTTCTAGGATGGCAGGTTACTCACCATTAAAAGAGTAGAGGCTCCATGCCAATCAGCTTAAAGTCTACCCTGCAAATCACCACTAGGGCATTAGATGCTTAACTTAAATATTCCTGACCTTATTTTTAAAATAGAGTTAATGGAACTTTGCATTACATTTAAACTCGATGCAAATTCAATGACAGAAATGCATTCTGGAAAATGCATCATTAGGTAATTTCATTGTTGTGGAAACATCATGGAGCATATTTACACAAATTAAGATGCCTACAATGTCATTAGGCTGTATGATCTGTGGGACCACCATTTTATATGCATTAATATGATCAAAGTGTCATTATGCAGTGCATGACTAAATGTACATGTATACTTATATTTATGTCTGTATCATATATTCTTGCCACAGATCCCTGCAATGGCTCCCAGGGTTGGAGGGCAAAGAATGTTATTCAAGATTTTGAGCAAAGAAATTGAGACAAAGAAAGTTAGGTTTATTTTTCTATGGACCACAGAACAAGTTTGTTGGACATTGAGCTAGAATGTAGATCTCACCCTGGGTCAAGTCAGGAATAACTTATGATTCCAGTGCATACGGAGAAGGCATACTGATTTTAAATCAGAAGTAAGCCTCCTTTTCCTGTCTGCCAGACATGAAAAGTTTTCAGACGTGGGCTGAGGTGTCCTAGAAAACATCTTTCTGTTTCTAGTACAGCATGCAAGAACGTATGAGAATATGTTTAAAAATAAAGAAGGAAACAGTGCAGAAAATCAGCAAAAAGCTGTTTTCCCCCAAGAGCTGAGGGCAGGAGAATATGCTTTCCCAAGTGTCCTGGCCCATGATTCACTCTTGTGGCATTGTGCCTGCCCCACCCAACAGCAGCGGCTGGGGCAGTCTACAGCAACACTCCTATCAGAACCCTGTCTGGATTTCAGGAGCTAGAGTTTCTAGGAGCACACGGAGTTAACAGTGTATCTCACCATCTCTGGGCATCTCTGATCAAGTTTTCAGTACAAGACCCGTACCTACAGCTAGAGCAAAATCCTGCTTGGGATTCTACAAAGAAGCTCCAAGCATTTCCCTCTGTGTTTCATTTATCTTTCTAACTGCCATGTGAGGGAGCAGGTGGCTCTGTGCAGAATGGCCGATGGATGTCTGAGATAAATAGCCCTTTGAATGACTCTCCAATATGATATTTTTTTGAGGTTACCTTGAAATTGCTGCAATCACCCAGGCAACAAAGGAAGAGGTCTGTCAGGGTCATCTGACCTCCCAGGGTGTGTGAGATTGCCTTGGTTGGTCAATAAGTCAGTTGGCTCAGTGGCTTATAGACCATACATACATAAGGTTCTTTCAGGGCACAGTTCTGTCCAGCCAAACCCCTGGAATAGACTCAAAAGTGGTGGAGTTCCCACACGGGACTGCTCCCAAACCATCCCAAGATGGGGCTGGTTGGGATTTCAAAGAAGTAAACAATAAACCTCAGGGTGATCAGTCCAATGCATCTCTTAGGGGAATTTATAGAGGAATGTATAGTGAGAAAAGGAATATCTAAGGATGTCCTCAGCACAGGTCAGGGTATGAAATCTAATGGACTTTTAAGGAATTTGGCTCAAGGCTAAGGGTAGTTTCTGCATGTTTAGCAATATGTTAGAATTTTTGGTGTTTCAAGCAACAACCTTAACAGTTCATCAAGAGTGCCTGGGAATGTTCAAGGCTTGGGTTTAAGCCTGCAAGAGAAAAAAAAAAAAATGTCACAGAGGGGTCAAGGCACATTGTAGTTCTCAATCAGGACAAAGAAAGAAATTAGGGGGAACTGGAAAGTCCTACACCTGGGAAGGAGTATACCTATGAAACACAGGAAAACTTGGTTACAGTGATAAAGAAGTGTCAAATTATAGTACGGCCTACGGTGACTTTCCAAGGATCAGTGCTTGTAGAACTTTCTGGAGGGAGAGTTCATCAGTTGAGGTCTAAGCCATAAAACACTGAGGGTTGTGGTTAAGTCCTTGGGCTAGAGCCAGATAAACCTAGATCCAAAACCTGACTTGGCCACATTCTACGCAAGCTTCATTTTCTTCTTCTAAAAAATGAACAGATAATAACTATTTATCTAATAGCTTTACGGTAGGATTACATGAGCTGAAGGATATAAATTTCTTAGGGCAAGGCCTGGCTCATGATGCTCAGAAATTTAAGCTCTTCTTATTAATTACAGAGATATTCACAGTCTTGCCTGATTTCATCAGAGTCTTAAAGCATTTTAAATGGGTTTGAGCAGAATATCAGAAAAATAGTCAATTGGATATTGTAGGTGTCTGATGTCTCTTTGAAGTATGGCACATCCTCCAACAAACAGTCCTTTTGAAAACCTTGGTGTGTGAATATTCTGTCTCAACTTTGTAGGGAATAAATGGATCACATTTTTAAAGAGTGTATCTCCACAGCAATTTTTAAAATTTGTTCTTTTTAGATATCTCCACAGCAATTCATCATTTTAGTAAGTGCTTAGACGGTCACAGACTCCACAGTGGTAGGAGTGACCACTTGGCAAACAGACACACACTGCCTTTTCCTCTCTGTCTGTGGCTAAAATCTCCTAGATGAAAGGAAGGGAGACAATGAGGTCTAAAGGAAAGAGCACAGACTTTGGGCTAGGTAAATAGCATCCCAAATATTGGCTTTACCACTTTCTTGTTGGTGGCCTGTGTGTCACCCACCCTCATTGGGACTCTACATTCTTACTTTTCTTATTTAGCCATCCATTTTATTCACTACCTTCCTTTGTGTAGATGGTACATACCAGGCTATCCTCTAGGTACTTGCAAAATGTCAGGGAACAAAGTAAACTCAAAATTATTCCCCTTTGGAGCTTTCATGCTAATGGAGGGAGAGAGGCTCTTAGAAATCAACAAGGTTGGGGCATGGAGTTCAGCAGTAGAGCACTTGTCTATCATGTGTGAGACCCTGGATTCAATCCCCAGCAAAAAAAAAAAAAAAAAGAAAAAGAAAAGAAAGAGAGAAAAATAAATCACTGTGATACATAAGCACACCGTATATAATGTGCATTACAACCTCTAACTCCAGCAAGTTCTTATAGTAATGAGTGACAATCCATATATCTTGCAAGGAATATAGAAGACATTTAATTTATTGTTTGTAAAATTGCTCCCAGATTTACTTAAATCCTTTAAATACTTTGCTTACAGTTGACACATAGGCACTGTTTGTTTATTCATTCCACGAACTCTTGAGCATCTAGTATATGCTAGAATCTGTAATAAGCCCCAGAGAGGCAAAGTGGTCCCTGCCCTTGAGAATTTTACAGTTTCAGCTACTGTTCGTTAGGGAGAGGCCCATGAGAGTCCCCAGGTGAGAGTCTCTCCAGTCTTGTGTCTGGGAATCAGCACAGTCCACTTCACTTATGATGTCTTTGTTAACTCCACATAACCCAGTTATGGCTGGTGACTCTAGGAACGCTATGAACCAGGACATGGAGATTGGAGTCACTCCCTGGGACCCCAAGAAGATTCCCAAACAGGCCCGTGATTATATCCCCATTGCCACAGACCGCACCCGTCTGCTGGCAGAAGGCAAGAAGCCCCGGCAGCGCTACATGGAGAAGAGCGGCAAGTGCAATGTGCACCACGGCAACGTCCAGGAAACCTACCGGTACCTGAGCGACCTCTTTACCACCCTGGTGGACCTCAAATGGCGCTTCAATCTGCTTGTCTTCACCATGGTCTACACCATCACATGGTTGTTCTTTGGTTTCATCTGGTGGCTCATTGCTTATATCCGGGGTGATCTGGACCATGTAGGTGACCAAGAGTGGATCCCTTGTGTTGAAAACCTCAGTGGTTTTGTGTCTGCTTTCCTGTTCTCCATTGAGACTGAAACAACCATCGGGTACGGCTTCCGAGTCATCACAGAGAAGTGTCCAGAGGGGATCATACTCCTCCTGGTGCAGGCCATCCTGGGCTCCATCGTCAATGCCTTCATGGTGGGCTGCATGTTTGTCAAGATCAGCCAGCCAAAGAAGAGAGCCGAGACCCTCATGTTTTCCAACAATGCGGTCATCTCCATGCGGGACGAGAAGCTGTGCCTCATGTTCCGAGTGGGGGACCTCCGCAACTCCCACATTGTCGAGGCCTCCATCCGCGCCAAGCTCATCAAGTCACGCCAGACCAAAGAGGGGGAGTTCATCCCCCTGAACCAGACTGACATCAACGTGGGCTTCGACACTGGCGATGACCGTCTCTTCCTGGTGTCTCCACTCATCATCTCACATGAGATCAATGAGAAGAGCCCTTTCTGGGAGATGTCTCGGGCTCAGCTGGATCAGGAGGAGTTTGAAGTCGTGGTCATTCTAGAAGGGATGGTGGAAGCAACAGGTAAGACATTTCTTCCTCCTTGGCTACATGATCCTCTTACCTCCCCTGGAGCTTAGACCACTGTGACTCCAGAAGATGAAAGTGTCTATGTGAGAATCCTGAGATTGCACAATCAGTATGTCCAGCTCCTAATGACCTGAGGGGCATTATTACTCAAGATGGAATACTAACAATAGCTGGTGTTGATCAATCCCTCCCAACTTCCAGGCACTATTCTAGACTTAGAACAAATATTATCTCATTCGGTGTCCTTCCACACTCCTGTTAGATAGTATTCATTAAGGTATAGGTATAGAAACAGAGGCACAGACACAGCAAGCACTACCAAGTCATAGAGCCAGGACACACCTCAAGCCAGAGGACCCCAGAACTGGCAGTTGTTTCCAACAAGCAAAAGTGATATTGACTGGGAGTGGTGATATTGACTGGGAGTGACACAAAGGCAAGCTGGGTTTTCTAGAGTGGCTTTTCATGCCTTACCATGAGTATATACTGTTATAGGGACAAACGAAACAAGGCACCAAAGACAGCAGGAAACAGTTTTATTTGGCTGCAGCCAGGTTCAGAGGGCACAGCTTTTGCTGTAATCAATCAATCCCCTGCACCTGAGTTCAGGGAGTTTCAGAGTTTTATACCCAGCATGCAAGGGAAGGGGCTCAGAAGTTCAGTCTGCAGAAGTTCACATAAAAGCAGCTTTTTCTTTCACTGTTTTGGGCATGTTAACCCTTAAAGGACTACACCTGAGAAGGGGAGAGCTTCTTCTTCCCTTTCTTTCCTCCCCCTGCCAGCTGTTACCATGGAGCCCAGTTGGTAACTTATCTAAAAAATGTAGACATCTCTGTGAAACCCAGATCAAGGCCAGAGGCCTTGTTTGCACATTTCTACAAACTACTACACTGGATATGTTTGTGAAAAACTAGTAAGGGAGTGTCCAGCACCTGGAGTGCTGGTATCTTTTCAGCCAGTGGCCAAGTAAAACAGGGCAACATGAAAATAGAAAGTTTATCTACATTGAACTCTTTTGCAGAGACTCTTTTGCTGATAGTCCTAAAATCAGCCATTGTAAAGATTTCTGGAGAAGCCCAGTTAAGATTTTTCTGTGGAGAAAGGGGGTGCCACTTCAATACCGTGAGTCACATCACCAGGAGAGGATAGTATGCAGCATTTCCTAAGCTAAAGCAGATTTACTTTTCTTTAGAGATACTTATGCCCTCTCAGCTTTCCTCCAGGAGGTTGGTTCTGTGGCCCCAAAGCATGCGGGGCTCCTTCCATGCAGAACACAGCACATCTATGCTGAAGCATCAACATTCACATAGGTCCAAGAAGATGCCCTCTATGGCCAGCTTGGCATCCCCTGCTTGGCTACCAACTCTCAGAGCTGACAGCCAAGAGCCTCCATATTCCTTAGCCATGCAGCTATGGTAGATCTCTTAGAGGTGGCTCCAGAGAGCCCAATGTCTAAGGGAGCCTGAGCTCTGGCTAAGAACCACAGACCCCAGTCCTCCCCACACTAGGGACCAGAATTCCCAGGGAGGGGAGCCCCCAGAAAAATCCTGCACCTTGCTTCTTATTTCCATTTCTTCCTTTTTTTCCACCAACTAGACTGAGCAGCAGCCTAGACCCTAATGATGACATAGAAAACTCTTTCATGCTCAAAATGATCACATGGGATTTTTCCCCGACCCCGATTCTTATAAACAATAGTGTAGGGCTAGCTTCCACCCCATTTTACAGATGTGGTTGCTTAAGCTTAAAAGGATCATGCAGACAATAAATGTTCCTGCTTAGGCATTTCACTTATAAATCTAGAGCTTTTTCTATCACACCACACTGGTCTCCTAAAATGTTCAGGGCCTATCACAAGGGAAGCTGAATGCTGGTTGGGGGACTCAAACAGGGCCTCCCAAAGCCTTCCATTTCCAGGCAGGAGGGTGCTAACAGGCCCTAAGGACTGGTGCCAAAGGGGGCTTCTTGGCTACCTGCTGGGGGGTCAGAACCTGGCCAGGCAGGATATGGTGACAGCCACAGAAGCCCCTGGAGCAGCGATGCAGAGAGCTGCCTCCTGCAGAGCTGGGGGCTAGCAGGTCACACTGCCTTTGGTGATAGGGTCAGGATCAGAACACAGGCTTGGTTTCTGGGGCAAGAGCTCCTCTCCAAAGTCACAAAAGAGGGATCAGGTGAGAGGCCTTGGGGAAGACAAGAAAACCATGCTTTACCAGTATCTGCAGCTGCCTTCACCATTGTATCAGGGAGGGCACAAGGGCCACTGTCAGCAGAGCGGGTGCAAGCCCTGCCCAGCTGCCTCCTCCCCTCACATTGCCCTCAAAACCAGTGGCCCACATTGACTTGCCCTAACCCCTTGACCTTCTCCCATAATCTGGGTTACCCTTGCTCTATTGGGACTGTAGGGGAGACCCAGGGAGCTCAGAGAAGGGGACCCCCACACTTGTTTCTGTTTTGATCTGAAGACAACTCAAATGGTTTGCCACACTCATGGAGCCAAGCATGGGCATGAATTCAGCTCTGCCATAGCCCTTTTGTGAGAGTTTGGGAAAGTTGTTTGACTTGTCAACAAAATGAGGACAGTTAATCTCACTGAATCCTTGGGAGGATTAAATGACTGCATGGAGCACCACAGGTAAAGCACAGTGCCAGACACTGAGGGTCCTTTTAAATACATTGAAAGATGACAGAACCACATAATCTAGGGGACACAGGCAGCCACATCCCTAGAGGAGAGACAGTAGGAGGGCATGAAAAGCCCAAGGGGCCTGTCCCATGAGCTACTGTGGAGGTCTTGTCACACTGTCATTCCCAAGGCCCTGGGAGCCTGCAATATCTAGCCTGGGACTAGGCTAGTCAGGGCCCAGTTGTGCATCTACACCTTTGCTGAAACCAAGTTGTGGGCAACAAGAGATGTGGACTGAATGGAAAGACCTGGCCCAGGCTGCCCCCACTGAGGGCAGAGAGTAGGCTAAAACCTAGCCATATATGGGGGCTCCCTGGGGGATCCAGGCAGAGTACATTTGGGTGGGATGAAGCCTTTGGCCCTGGGTCTGGTTTGCATGACACCCTCACAGTGAAGGCCCAAGGTGGGGAACTGGAGAAGGCTTCTCCTTCAGTGCCCAAAGAGCACAAGCTAGTGCCTTCCTGGGCCAGAAGATGGAAATGAAAGCTGCTTTCCTGTGCCCCTAAGCACAGAGGCTTGTCATCCATAAACAAAGCTGCCCTCCCTCTCTGGAGAGAAAGCAACACCTAAAAATAACAGAGGCATGGCAAGGGCTGCATGGAAGGGGAGCAGGGGCATTGGACCATCCTCAGATCAAGAAGCCAAGCCCTGAGTGCATGTGTGTCTCTCCCCTTCCTGTGTGTGTATGTGTGCTCATGCGTGTGTATGTGTAGTGTGCTCATGTGTGTGTGTGTGTGTGCACATGCGGTTGTGCCTGTGTGTATGAGTGTGTAGGCTTCTATTCATATGTGTCTATGTGAAGTAATCTCCATATGTTCTAAATGTCTGTCACTTTCTCTATGTTCCCTCATTCTGGGTTTATCTTTATTCAATCCTTTTTTTCTGCCTCTTTTCCTGTCTCAATCTTCTAGACCTGAATGCTGTTATCAGAAGCCACGTTGTTGCCTCCAGTTATACAAAAAAAAAAATATTCAGTCTTGTGTCTGGGAATGTGCTCCAGAGTTTTACATGTTTATTTCTAATGTTTTGTCCCCACCATATCTTGATTTCCTCCAGGACAAGGACTATGTCTTATTGAGATTGACACCTCTATATGTTTAGCATAAAGCAGATGTGAAAGAAATGCTTGATGGATGATTGGATGGACGGAGATGAATGAATTGGGTGGACTGATGGATCGTTGGCTCAATAAGTCATTGCATCTTCATATGTATGCCTTCTCTTTCCCCAGGCATGACTTGCCAAGCACGAAGCTCTTACATGGATACAGAGGTGCTCTGGGGCCATCGATTCACACCAGTCCTCACTCTGGAAAAGGGCTTCTATGAGGTGGACTACAACACCTTCCATGACACCTATGAGACCAACACACCCAGCTGCTGTGCCAAAGAACTGGCAGAAATGAAACGGGAAGGCCGGCTCCACCAGTACCTCCCTAGCCCTCCCCTAGTAGGGGGCCATGCTGAGACAGGGGAGGATGTGGACGCTGAGCAGGAAGAAGAGGACAAGCCTGTTGGGCTGAGTGTGTCCCAGGAGACCAGGGGCTCAGTGTGAGGGCTGTACTCTCCCCACAGTCTCCCCTCACCAGCTTCCATGAGCACAGATGCTTCAGAGCTCTGGAGGGCAGATAGAGAGAACTGGCTGAGTATGCCATTGGGAAGCTTAGCTGTCAAGGCTCTGTGGGAGGGAACAGTGTTTCCAGCTCTCACATCTCCCCACTCAAGGCCTCCCTGAGTGAGTGGCCTCCTGCCTAGGCCCCATGAACAGTGATGCTTCTTCTCTCATTGCTTCTGTCAATACCAAGTGCCAAGCCAAAATGGCTTTCCCCACAGTGAAAGTTACAGAATGGCATCTGTCCTCTCTCTGCAGGTCTCAGGGCACTTTCCTCCTTGGAACTCACAGCCCCTTCCAGGGGCTGATATCAAGAGAGGGTTGTCAGCCCTGAGGTGTGTTGTAGTTTCAGGAAGGAGAGATTCTGCCTGAGGAAAGCTCAGACCTCCAGTCTAGAGATAAGTTCACAGATCTCTGGTGGGCTAAGGCCTATGAGGCCAACAACCATTTATTAAGAGCTACAGAGTTCAAGGCCCTTGTTCATCTCTGTTATTATCTGCCAAGTACATGAGGTTTTCTCCGCTGTGCTCTGCGTGCCCACTGCAGCCTACTGGATAATGAGCTGGTTAGAGTCACTCTGGGTTACAGCACCTCTGAGCACAAGCACAGTTGGCATCACAACTGCCTGGCCTGTTCCCAGTCACACTGTACCCTGAACCTTCCACCCAAGGAAGAACCCAGCCTCTGGGGTTTCTATAGGACTATAGGGCCCAAGAATTGCAAAGTGATTCTAACCTTCACTCTAGTTTTCTTTCACCATCTCAGACAGCCTGAGAGAAAGCTTCAGCGCCCCCACCCAAAGGGATTCAGAGAGGAAAAGAAAAAAGAGAGATAGGAAAACATTGAAAATTTTAAATAAGCATCTGCCCCATTATTGTCCAAACACTGACCTCAGGGTTCAGCACACTTTGGCTATCAAGGTGAATAATGGGTTGTGAAGCAAAAGTGACGGGTGACCATAGAGGCAGCTTTGCTGGCAAGTCCAGGCTGAACCAAAGTCTCAAGCTGGTGCTGAAAACCTCACTGCTACAGGCTGGGCTCTCATAGGGTGGTTGGGCGGTTATGATGCCTGGGGAGCTAGGAATGAATGGGCTGCTTCTTCCGGCCCTGGGACCAGGAGGTGAGGGAGGGGAGAATTGGGGAAGTGGATGAATGTTAAGAAAAAAGAAGGTTGTTGGCTTCATAGAGTACAAATTGTCAGGCCAGCCAAGCAAGTGTTAAGAAAAACAGAATTGTGATTAATTGGAAAGGGCGTTCACAGGTTCCCAGACACAGAATTCTGCAGGATTCTCCCATGACCTTCATAGCTCTCACTGTTCTCTGAGAGTGGAAGCCTTTTCCTGTTCCAGAACTGAAGCACCTTCCCTGGGAACCACAGTGAGGCAGAAATAAGATAGAACAAGGGGACATCTTGCAGATCTCAGGCCCACGTTCCCCCACACTGGTGTCCTAGGTCTGAGGCTGGTGAGAAGAGGAAAAAGGTGGACTGGGACAGGAACCACATCTCGTGGGCTACCCAACTCAGCTTGGCACTGGGGCTGGATCTGGAGCAGTGGACCAGCATAGCAGTGGGCAAGCAGGGCTCTTCCCACCATGGACAGGAGGCTGGGTTGTGGTTGTGGCATCCTTCTGTGGTAAACTAGATCTTCAGGGACTGGGGAAAGGGCTGGGATTCCCCCCTCAGGGGAAAGGGAAGTGAAGCCGCCAAAAGAACCCCAGTGGGGGAGCTGCATACAATCAGGAGTCCAAGGCAGGGAGCCAGTTGCCAAGACTGGGTGTCTGGGGTGGGGGGAGCTGCAGCTGGAACTCTCTTACCCCTGGCTAGCCAGATCCCAGGCTTCCAGAGCAGGACTACTTGCACAACCCCTTGCCAGATATGAAGTCTGTCTTAGTCAGAACCACACAGGACCCCCAGATTATACCCCACAATGAGGCTGGCAGGCAAGGAAGCCACAGGGAAGCTGGTCACATGGCTAGACAGTGTCCTGATCCTGCCTCCATTTACAATTCTGAAACATCCCCCAACTGGCTATTAAAGCCTCTCTCTGGGGTTCTTTAATTCTGCCAGTGACTTCAATGAACCAGAGCCATGTCATACCTCTCAGCCAATGTAGAAGCTAAAGAGTCTGTTGAAGACAAAGTGTCCAATATGTTCCTATTCTAAAGCTCCCTGATAGATCAGAGCTGATGTGCAATGGGATTCGTAAAATACTAATTCCAGTATTCATATTCTGATTTCCATCATGGCCACCTACATGCAAGAAAAATGAACTTCATATCCCAAGGAAATCCCCTTCTTGGTGACCAGATGATCTAACTAAAGTTTGAAAAGTTCTTCAAAACATTTTCTGGAAATTCTTAAATAAAAATGGACTTATTCAACTCAAAATCCAATGATGGCCAGTGTTTCAATTGGTTACTTCCAAATCACTGCTCCTGCATACAAAACACTTATAGGTCATGGTCCTTTTTGCTTGGCTGTGAGCCCATGTCATTACTGATGGGCCACAGAGAGCTGAGCCAGGCTTTGAGATGTGGTCACTGGTGATTCCCGCAGGCCTCAGTATCTACAAAATCCCCAAATGATAGCTCACTTGTCAGATCCTGAACATATAGGAAGCTGAATTCCTGCCTTAACTTCTATGTCCTTCCTTTCTGAAAAGATCCTCTGGTTCTCCTCTCTCTACCAATCTATCACCTTCTAGGTGTTGACACCTTTGCCCATAAGATTCTGTTTCTGGGCCATGGCAGAAAAGACATTGCCCATCCTCTCTCATTCAGATGTTTCCCCTGTTGGCCATCTGAACAACCAGGGAGCCCGCTCCCACCATTTCCTTCTGTTGCTTTAAGATCCTGGCTCAAGCAGTTAACTATGACTGAGGAGAAGGAGAAGAGCCCCTATATGCCTGGGGAGCACCTTCTCTGTTTCTTATCCAACAACTGGGTACCTTCATTTACTCTTCTTATACGGTGGCCTACCTTGTCTCTTATGTGAGGTAAGAACCACAGAAACTTATATTGCTCATATTGATTAAAAAGAAAAAAAGAAAAAGTTGCCCATTGTCTTCTAAAACTATTCTCTGGAAACTTCTTTGCATGTGTACTGGTGACTGAGCACCCAGTGCCCAGCAGTGGCACTTTTTCTGGATGCTTGATTCTCAAAGCACAACGGAGGTCTCAATGGCCCCTTGTTACCAGGGGATTCAGAGAGGTTCCCTAAGTTTGCTTAAGGTCACAGATGAGAGGCAAGCATCTCCCAAATAAATGTGGAAGGACATCATCCTGCATAAATACTCCATGTCTATGGCCACTCACTGGGCTCCAGCCACAGCAGTAAGGAGAGCCTCATCTCTCCCAATAGCATCAAACAGATTTGTGCCATGCTGTAGAGCTCTGGCTTCCATCCGCCACCTCAGTTCTCCTGTGGCAAGATAATTAGGAAACACCTTTTTTCTGATTCCCAGAGAACAAATGAGCTGTGAAAAGAGATTAGACGAGGAAGAATTGCTTTCAGGGAGAAACCACTTATACTGCTTGGCTTGGTTTTTACTAATGACATCTCCTTAAACTGCTGTCGTGTTTTTTTCCCCTTTATAGGATTTTCCCTTGTATAGGACACACCATTACATGGCTAAAAATTTAGTGCTAAATATTTAGTGCCCATAAAGAGAATTTGACCTTATAGAGCTCTTTCTCATTTAAAATCAATGGTCACTGGTTTCCCATTCAAATGCATTGCCAGTTTGAGCAAACTGATTCTTCTTGTTTTGTTAATCTAAAAATGGAGTGTCAACATCTGGATTGGCATTGAGATGGATATATGGGCAAAGGTAGAAAGGACAGACCCAGATTGAGACTCCTGCCTCAGGTGTCATTCTCTGTAGGAAAACACAGTTCAAGATGGCAACAAATGCAGACAATGCAAACAGTATGGGTTCATGCATTGGGCTCATTCATTCTGCCTTAAAATAACTTTAATCTCTTCTTTATGTTAAATGTTCATGATCCACACTTTCTATGTAACAAGTAACTTCAAAATATCCACTTTATAATGGTGTATATTCATGGCAAAAGTTGGAAAATGATTGATATGGGCAAACCCTGGGGAGGGGTCAGAGGAAGATGTGATAGTTAATGTTGGCAAAGGATTTCAGGACACCTAGAATGAAGACTGAAATTTTCTGTTGAAAATGCCATTGACAGAGGTTTGACGGTGGAGTTTTCTTCTGCTCCAGTCACCCACTGACAATATTAAGAGTTCAGATGGACAAATTGGCTATCTAGAAGTTCCTTACTTAGACTAGCCTGGAAAGATATAGCAGCCCTTCAGGCTTTGATTTAGCATGAGAAGAAATATTGCTATCAGCCAGAGGTCAGAAGATCCAGTGTGGTCCTGTCTTCCACATCTCTCCAGGATCTACCCATCATTGTAACCATCCAGAAGCAATCAGCACAAGTGACCAAGCTAACAGCAGGTGCACAGCCCCTCAGTCAGCAGCAGGGGAGAAAAACACGAGGTGACTCTGAGGGTGCTACTGCCTTCCTGGAGGTGACAGAAAGCACAAGACACACAGACAGGCAGGAAGCTCTGGGAGTAGCCGGCCATCTCCCTGTGGGTCTGTGCCTTGCCTGGGATTGCACTGAAAATGCTCTTCAGGGTCAGAAACTCAGAATGGAGATATATAATGTTGGGAGTGGGGGACTGGAAGGAAACCCTAAATGGACATATTCACCAGTCAAGCATGAATCGCAGTTTAGAAAAGAGAACTAGACACACATATAAAATCAGAACATCATCCTCAGAAAACGCATCCAGACCCAGAAGATCTGCTCCATTTGCGCCAGTCAAAAGGCCAGCACTGATGTGCTCACCACAGATGTCTCTGTAGACACTATTAGAATTCAGCAATAAGGCTCGTTGACTTGTGAGTAATAAATAAATG